GCAGCGGTGAGGAGTTTCAACCTAATGTCGCGACTTAGGGTCAAGCGACAGAGGAAAACCAAACAAGGCGCTGGGGGCGTTCGACTTAGTTCTTACCGAAGCGATGGTGAGCTAGGCTCAAACCTAAGGCTAGGGACAAGTGAATGTATTAGTTAGTAAGGTAAGAAAGGAATACAAATGAGGGCTTACTGACCTAGGGACAAGAGGTCGAAACTGAGGTCCCTAGGGCAGCAGAGGCCGGCTTATATACATGGGGAGATTAGGGCAGGCTGTGCACGTTGGTCCGTGCGCAGCTGGTCTGTGCGCAGCATGCTGACGCGGCCCCGGGGGCCGGTGAGTCAGAGCGGTTGTGTCAGCGGGGCCCGAGCTGTGCCGTGCGCTGCCGCCCCATCTAATCTAATCGTACAGTAGATAGTGACGCGTCCATATCAGGCAGGTAGTACAGAGGTCGCGGGTTCGAGCCCGCGAAAAGGAAAAATTTAAAAAACGGCTAGGCGCCGTACCAACTCGTGACAGAGGTCAAGCAGATCCTCAACATCAGCCGGGCCCATCGGCCCGAGTTGAACAACTTCTTTTCGGCTCGAGGACGAGGGCGCGGAGGGGCACGTGGTGGTGCACCCTCGACACATGCAGCTTTGGCCAGCATCAATGTGGCCGTCGGAAAAGGAGACTTCCCCGGCACATGTTTTGGCTGTGGGAAGCAAGGGTACCGACGCTTCGAGTGCCCCAACTGTAAGGACAAGCCTTACACAAAACGCGCCGACGCGCGGGCTACGGTTGCCTCGGGCTCCACCCAGGCTGCGACAAGCGCCCCCGTCACGACAACACCCTCGGCAAGTATAAGTGCCGCTTCAGCGAAATCCGAGCAATCGGAGCTGGCGGACTTAATGGCACAGGTGAAGTCAATGCGCGAGGAGCTCGAGCACTATCGGGCGATGAAGAAAGAGGGTTTTTGATCCGGTCCGCGCTTCGTGCCGCACGCGTCGGGCCGCGTAATAACAATGTGTACAATGTATTGGCGACTGCAAATGTGTACGAGTTGGACCACGGGTCCCAGCATTTCCACATCCCGGTGCGCCTTAGAGGAAAAAGACAGCACAAGGACATAATCGCTATGGTAGACAGCGGAGCCACCACGAAGTTTATCAATAAGCGATTTATCACAGAAAATAAGGTGCAGACGCGGAAGCTAAAAGAGCCGATTCCGCTATACAATATCGACGGCACCCTGAATAAAGATGGAAGCATCTCAGAAGTAGCCGTGCTACAGATGCAGATAGGAGAACACATCGAGAGGATGGTGTTTACGGTCACGGACATCGGTCCAGAGGATGTGATCGTTGGGTTGGACTGGCTACGAGAGCACAACCCCGAGATCGATTGGGAGTCTGGCTCCCTAAAGCTATCGCGATGCCCTGAAACGTGCAGTGCCAGGAGAACTGGCCGGATGGAGCAGGCAGCGACTGCGCATGATACGGGGGTCAGGCCCACGGCGCGCAGACGTTCGCCGAAGTCCAAACGGTCGGTCATAGGTGCCTGCCAGAGTAAGGTACTCCCAGACTTCGAACCCAAAGAAGATACGGTGGAAGTAGAGTGGGACAAGGCCGATCTGATCGAAGCCTGGGAGCAAGGTATCACGCTTCCCGGCGCCCCTCAGCTATTTGTCGCGGCAGGGCATATGTACTCCCAGCTGTTTGCTGAGAAAGAGATCAAGAAGAAGGTCGTCAAGACCGCCGAGGAGTTGGTGCTCAAGCAGTACCACGAGTTTCTGAATGTCTTCTCCAAGGAAGCATCAGAACGGCTGCCCGAAAGGAAGCCTTATGATCACGCTATCGAACTCGTGCCCGGCTACTCAACCTTCCACTCTAAAGTGTATCCCTTGTCGAACAATGAGCAGGAGGAACTGGACAAGTTCCTAAAGGAGCAACTGGCGAAAGGCTACATACGGGAGTCGAAGTCGCCCATTTCGTCCCCCTTCTTCTTCATCAAAAAGAAGGAAGGGATGCTTCGACCCGTACAGGACTACCGCCGATTGAACGCGATCACGGTCAAAAATCGTTACCCCTTGCCGTTGATTGCCGAGATGGTGGATAAGCTCCGAGGCGCTACGCT